TACCAGGACAGCTGAAAAGACCTGTTATTTCCCCACGTTTTGCACCAAATTAATCTGTGGAGTTGATCAGCCCTGCTGTTTAACTAGTTTTTCTTCGTAAACAACTATCAAATGGTTTCACCAAAATCCAGTCCACAATATTCAAACTGTCTGCCATTATGTGCAGCTTATTACTGGCGCAAGGCTAGTGTGAAGTGTGTCCGCCTGTGAGTGCTTTATGACGGTGAAGGGGCTCAGCAGCACCCGCTGGACAGAAACTGCGATAGAAGTCAGAAAGAGTCTCCAAACACAAGCAGCTACAAAACAACCACCAGAAATAGAAGCTCGATTTGTTGCTAGCTATTTTTAACTAAGAAAATGCTGCTAAAAGGACTAATAAAGTCTCCGGTTCAGCTCAGAACAGAAACGTAACTAAAATCAATCTGTCAATCAAAAGGGATTCAGCCTCAGACAAATCATCCAATCATCATGCAGAAGCTGAGCGTCCGAGCCAGCCGAGGTCAGCCCACTGCCCCATAGACCCCCAGAGACGCTCAGTGTCCGACTGGCGGGACAAAGCCAGCATTTACCCAATGACTCGTCTCGTTTCGCTGCAGTCTTTGCATCACTAATGAGCTCTGTGGAAGCTGAGCGTCTGACTGTTTAAAGCACTGTGAAGCTGCGGGAATGAGTGAAATGAGGAAATGAGGAAAGCCGCGTCATTACCAGTGATAAGAAGCTGATTCTGAAAAAAAGTTGAGCGCGTTGTAGCGCATACTTAGTCAATTTCTTAAAAAAAAAAAAAAACATTTTAGGGCCTTGCAGTCGCTTCTGCTTCAGACGGGCCTGTGCCTTCTTGAGTAGGGGGGGTCTTGTGGGCACTGCATGATTTTGATGGTTTTGTAGCTTCTTCCAGCCTTGTGCAGGTCTATGATCTGGTCCCTGACATCCTTAGACAGCTCTTTGGTCTTGCCCAAGTTGTAGAGGTTAGAGTCTGACTGAGTTTGTGGACAGAGTCTTTTGTACAGGTGACAGTTTGAGACAACTGTCTTTAATGCAGGTAATGAGTTGATTGACTAATTGGTCTGTAGAAACCAGAACTCTGGTTGGTTGGGGATCAAATACTCATTTCTCTATTTGCAAAATTCATACTGTATACATTTGTATAATTTATGCAATGTGATTTTCTGTTTTTTTTATTATTCTTT